TTATGCTTGTAGGATGGTAGTGGTATTTGCGACACTTGCTGATATGCCTGTACGTGTTTGTTGTCTTTGTGACTCTTACTGATATAAATGTATGTTGATTTTATGTGAGGTGAAATGGACCTGGGGGTGAAATAGATCCGTTTGGTTGAAAAATACCGATGAAGTTGAAATAGATTTGGGGGTGAAATAGACCCGTACAATTGGAAAAATACCATTTGAGTTGAAATAGAATCAAGGGTGAAATAGACCTGAGGGTAAGATAGACCCGTACAACTTCGAGCTGGTAATGTATGGTATGCAGCATTGTAAGGAATTCATTAAGCTTTGCGCTTACAATTTTATGTTTATGGTTTTATGTATTTTCGGTTCCAATGGATCGACATGATTATACCGCATCCATTAGTGTTCCGCATGATTTGACTTGTTTTGTACTTTGATGACTATATGACATGTTTTCATACTATGATAGGTTTTCTATGTTAATGAATGGTTGTTTTGATTGATATAAATAAAATTTTCACTTATAATTTTTGGTGGTGATGACGTGATTGGAGGGGCTATCAAAATCTCAGAGAAAGACGAGAAGGTAGAAGCGTAATACATAATTGCTAGGACGAAAGCTAGAATAGAAGATAAGGAAAAAGATTCATCGATGCGGTTTGCGATGATTGAGGGAGTCGGGAATGAACATGGAGAAAGAAGAAGGGAGAGGCGGTGGAACAGGAGGAGAACAAGAGAGACAGAGAACATATCATGTAGTAGAGGGAAAGAGACGGTTGAGAAGTTAGTGGATCGCAGACCCTCTTACGAGGAGGTCATATGGCGGTGGAAGAATCAGGAAGGTTGTTGGAAGCAAATAACTAAACGAACATAAGTAAATGTGAAAACATAGGAACCAAACTTGGCAAAGTCTACAAACTTCCGTGGCCAAACACTAAATTATATATATATATATATATATATATATATATATATATATATATATATATATATATATATATATATATATATATATATAGTCATATCTATTTAATAAAAAAATATAGTATATATAAAGTAGAGCTTTAAATAATAATCAAAATAAAAAAATGTTTCATAGCAAACCACCACATAAATGACGAGAATTGAAATGACATGGTAAAATAATAATAATAATAATAATAATAATAATAATAATAATAAGTTTTTCTAATATATATGTTCTAAGGTAGGTATAAGAATTATTGATTCAAGTATTAATTAGGAATAATATTATCAAAATTAAATATGATAAATATTAATTATAAATATTATTTGATAATATATTATCCATTAGCATGATCTATGATCTAGACTGTTTCTTAAATCTGTTTTTAGAACACATATTAGAAAATCTAAAAATTAATTACATGGGTAGCTGTTAGTGTTTTCTACCCACGTTGGAAAGCACAAGTTTTTCTATTCACCTTGGCAACAATGTGTCATCAACTTCATCTATGTTCAAAACTCAATTTATAGAGAATCGTTGGTTTGAAAGTCTATTTCGATTATAAGAGGCGTCTAACTTATTTTAAGTTTTTAACAACTAAAAGTAATATATGAAAAAAGGGTTAAGTAAATTCAAAAGTACATGATGTTTTGATTTGAATTATCAAGTAGACAATTTATAGGCAATCAAGTTCAGTTCAGGCTTGTTTAAGTTATATGAGGTTCGAATTCGAGCTCGGTTCGATTTGAACTTTTTTGTACCTTTTTTACTGAGCTCAGTTCGAGCTCATAAATAATTATACAAGCTCAACTCGTTTTTTTGTTTAATGTGCCTAAATGACCTTAACATCGGTTCGAGCTCGTTAAAAGTTCGTTTATTAATAATTTAATACCCTAAATCCCTAATTCCTCAAATAGTTTTTATTTTAATATATAAAAATAATAATAAATTATATTGTATATAGGCTTGTTTAGGCTCACGAGCCTAATCGCGCTTAATAACATTGGTTTGAGCTCGAGCTCATTTAATAAATGAGTTTAATATTAAGCTTGATCTTGGCGGGCTCGTTTATAATCGATTTCGAGTTGAACTTTTAGCGAGCCAATACCGAATAGCTCAAGAATAGCTTGACTCGTTTGTACACTTATGTACGAACTATGTTTATGGTTGATATGATAATATGATGATAATGTGAACATCATCCCCATCTTAACGTGGACACTACATCATGGTGAAAAATTACACAAAATCATTTTTTCTTTATCTCTTGTAATATATGGATACTATAAAATCTATGAGATATTTCATATTAAAGATATTACCTATAAAAACATAACGAAGTTTTGTTTTTGTCTTTGTTTATTTTATTTATTAATGAAACTTAGTTATCAACGTACAATGAATGAAAAGGCAAATGAGCAACAAGTTGCGTCGTGATGCCTTTTTGTATGATAAAGCCAATTCTTTTGAATACTACATCCATAGATTCAGGGGATATAACAGTACTATGCATGATCTGTTGTACTCTATTAAGAAGCTCCACCGTATCAGGCGAAAGGAAACCAAACATATAAAATGCAAATGGTATGAACATGTGTTGATTTTCCATGCCCGATTTCTTATGTTTGGTGACCTTGCATGTAACAACTTTTAATGTAGTCTGTCCCGCCGTGAAACCCTCGACCCTCAAGCCTACGAGAGTGGATACCCCTGTAAGGTCTACATATACGTGTTTCCCTCCAACCCATCCAAAAATCAAAACGTCAGTCGGTTTAAGGATTGACCTTCCTTTTGTTGGGTCAGTATAGAAATTTACAGAAGCCTCTTTCTTGGCTGATACCCCAACATGCTTCAATATGTCAACTAAAACATCCCTACCCATATCCTGCATGTATTTGAAACCTGAAAGTTATTTGCAATGAACTACATGCTCTCAAAAAGAGTCCAAACATGCCTTGTGGCACACCGAATATATTTCGTCAGTTGGGAATATTGGAATCATGAGTCGATATTTGAGGATGGTACGATACTCCATAGGAGACATATGTTGGACAAACCCATCTATAAGGATAACTAGAAGAAAATCTTGAGCATGTGTTGCACATAAATACTGAAAAATTGCTTTCTATCGAGCCGTCATGATGAAATGCACTTCCATATCTTGGACAATTTCACTAAAAAGGGCACTCACCAGTGTACTCTGGGATTTAGCGGGGGCGGTGTCCTTAGTAGCAACACTACTAAAGTCAATGTTCGGAAGCTTGTTACGAAGAGAAGCTAAGACACAAACATAATCAAAACCCATGCCATGTGTGCCGCTATCCCATAATATGTGGTCTTGTAATATCCAAGATTGAACCCTTAAGGTAACAAAAGCATATGAGGTAGCCTTTACTACTGAGTATAAACCCAAACCACCAAAGAAATAGCCTCACACAACATAACTCTACGCTCATCTGTAGGGAGGTGCAAGCTCTTCATATGAGAAATCATACGATAAATCCCCTTACCGCCTACTTCACCATTCATGCAACAATGAAACCCCCGAAAAGGGCATGACCTAGTTCCGCTCGCATATGTATGAGAAGACGCCATAAACACACAAATAAATTTTATTAAAGCCTCAAAGGGAAGGCTCGAAATGAGAAGCAAAAATCAAAAGTAAAATGTGACACTCCAACAAAAGGTTGGAGTGCACAATGAAAAACAACACCAAAAAGAGACTCTACATCTTCTTGAGTCCTAAAATGGTTGCAACACTTGAAATACTCATTTAGACATTTTATCGAACACTTGACGGACATAAAAAGAAGTGTTTGATTTGCACCAATGAAGCTGGAGAATTTAACCCATGTATAATCTTCAAGCTTGATGATTAAGAAGATAAGAATTTCGAGTATAAGAGAAGACGATTCTGATTTTTTTTTCTTTTAATTATACTCAAAGATATAAGCTGAGAAGCAAAATCATGAAACAATAAAAATTAAGAAACCTAAAATATGGCAAAGATTAAGCAAAAAATGGCAGGAGAGTATTATGAATTTTATTTTTATTGGAAAGGAGGTGAGGATGAGTGATTACGAGCATGAAACCGTCGAAATGAAAAGTTAAACGCCACCTTCCTTCAAAGCCAAAAAGGTGTATAACTTGATGTCATAAACAATTTTCGTAATGACGGATTCATTGCGACTTTAACAATACGTTAGAACAAAAATAGAATACAAGAAGCATACATTACAACAAACAAGCAACAAAAGGAGAAAATACAACAAGGCCAGCATTTATAATTTAGCATAGAACTTTTTTTATTTGGTGGAAAGAAGTTAACTATATATCATCTGCCGTCCTTAAACGAGAATACCTTTTTCTGATGAATATCAAATCATTGCATACTTTTGATTTTGGTAATTATGACGCTGAGGTGACTAACACTTTTGTTGTGGTTGTGTGGTGAGTATACTCAATAGCTTGTTATATAAGTAGCAAAAGCAGTTAAAACCGTTATTATCCGTATCAATGATATTTTTAAAAATATATTTTATTTTTGTTTATGAACAAGTTTTGATGATCATAAGAAAAAAGTGCAGATAGTTATCGACAAATGTTTACAATATACAACATATATTTTGTAATGTAATATATAAAATTTGCATCAAATTTGGTGTATTTTAATAAAATTTTATTTATTACACCAATTACTATATTGGTGTCTTCTTGTAAATTTGCATCAAATTTTCTGTTTTCAGAAAACTTTTTATTTTTATTTTTATGCTAAGTTACTCTAATCTTTAGAAGATAATTAGAAACAGAAGATTGAAATATTTATTAGGGACAAAGATAAAGAACATAATTAATTAAATCCATCCCCTCTATTTCTTCTATTTGGGGACCAACCTAAAACGGCCCTCCTAAAACATCCAGCCATCATCAAGTCAACATGCATTCCACAGTGCCGTCAATGAACCGTCGATGTAAACCAAAAAAATTAAATAGCTTATCCTTTGAATTCTAAAATACATAAAAATAAATAACAGGATATAAAGCATAAAGTATAAACTTATTAAAAACTTAATTTTATTGATAGATATATAGTTTAAAAAAAACTTAATAAGTATTGAGTGAGTACCTACCATGGAAAAGAGAACGCCGTTAAATCATATTCTGTGTATATAAAAAGCAAATTTACCTCGTTTTCATAAAATCAACACACCACACCATCATCTGTGTGTGCAAGCTTCCGATACCGGAATATTGTTTCCGGCCACTATAGTATTCTCACCGACTCGACGGATCTTATTGACCTAGTTGAAACCTAGGGGTGAAGGAGCTGATCCTAGTATAATTTATTTGTGAACAACATGCCAACGGCGTCGTATTGGTGTTATCGATGCACACGCTTTGTCAGAGTAGCGGAAGAGGACACGGTTGTGTGTCCTCACTGCGAGGGAGGATTCATTGAAGTTGTGGAGCCCAACGCGCCGCCGCGGCGACGTCTACCAGCCGCTGCGATGTACATGCTTCGCAACAGCGATCGGTCAGATCTGAGGCTCCGGCGTCGTGGTCGACGTAACAACGGAGACTGGTCTCCTTTCAATCCGGTCGTCGTTCTTCGCAGTGTCGCTGACGTTTCGGCTAGCGGTGTGGACGAGAATTCCGGAGGGGGAGAGAGAGGTTTTGAGTTGTATTATGACGATGGGGCAGGTGCCGGCCTACAACCGTTGCCGGCGATGATGTCGGAGTTTCTGATGGGGTCAGGATTTGACCGATTGCTTGAACAGTTATCACAGATCGATATAAACGGATTAAGTCGTTCAGAACAGCCGCCGGCGTCAAAAGCTGCGGTGGAATCGATGCCAACGATCGAGGTATCGAGTTTACACGTCAGCACCGAATCGAACTGCGCTATTTGTATAGAAGCGTTTGCTCTGGGTGCCGCAGCTCGTGAGATGCCTTGTAAGCACATTTACCACCCCGATTGCATCCTCCCATGGCTCTCTATGCGAAACTCCTGTCCCGTCTGCCGCCACGAACTGCCAACAGATACAACGGAGTCAATAGAACGATCGGAGCCAATCGAGGAAGAATCAGCGGCAGTTGGATTGACGATATGGAGATTACCTGGTGGGGGATTTGCAGTTGGCAGGTTCACCGGCAGCAGAAGAACCGGCAGTGGCGAGAGAGAGCTTCCGGTTGTGTACACCGAAGCTGACGGTGGGTTTAGTGACAATTCCGGCTCACCAAGGAGGATTATGTGGGAATCTAGAAGGTATAGGGCGAGAGGACAGGGTGGAATGGGTAACGTTTTCCGCAACATGTTTTCGTTTTTTGGAAGATTGAGATCGTCTTCAAATTCTTCCGACGCTAATGGAGCATCAATGAACAGAAGTCGTAGTCTTTCAAGTTCAATTTTCGGCAGAATGACAAGGAGGAGAAGTAGAACTTGGATATTGGAGGAACAAAATGGTATGTCCAGATTGTAGAATTCGATTCAAGAGCTTCGAGATTCAAAACTCAAGTTCCAAACTTCCAGACATACCTATATTGTAAATAATTTTGATTCAAGTATTCTGGTAAGTGAACTTAGACGAAGCATCCATGAAGCCTACGATTTCCTCTTCTGTTTGATCAGGAAAAAGGAACCAATGCCTCGTCCAAACAGTTTCTGGATTTTTGCTAAACAAACACTGGTTTTAATTTTCTTGATATGTAGATTTCTGCATTTATGTACCTTTAAGTTCATTTCATTCCATTTCAGAACTAAATTATCCCAATTTTGACTTTTCTTAATTTCTTGTGCTCTAATTTTTGAATTTGACTCAAGAACGATATGGTATCAAATCCAGGCTAAAGAAACTTTACACCATATAAAGCTGAATTTTGTCAACAATTCCTGCTTCATGATATCAAGAAGACGAGAACAAGGTATGAGTTTTACTTTATAAAATAGAATATAAAGCATTCGAAAATGGTTATTTAAAGGTTAGTATATGGATAACTTTTACTGAAATATCTATATGAAGTATCTATAAAGCTTGAAAAAACAAAAAAAAGATCGAACTAAATAGAATCCAATGACAATTGGTTTTGACAAAAGAAAGTTGATGGCATTAATTCTGTGGGCAAACTTTATGCTTTGTGGAATTGTGGAATTGTGGATTGTAAATACATGTGGAGAAAGCTACTTTGGTTAAAAAAAAAAAAAACAAAAGAAGAAAAGAAAAGAAAAGAAAACCTGTTACAAGTGACTTTAATATATAACTTTAGCTTTTGTTTCTGGTATTTGGTATGGTATTTGGTATAGCGGAATATTGGGTTTCTGTTTAGATTCTTGCAGAAAAAAGCTCTCAAAACTTTTTGTGGACCATGTGTTGTTGTTCAGTGGGAATAGAAAGTGTATTATTCACATGTGCAATAATCTTTTTTGATATATTGCGTTTTCAAAAATCATAATAATAGTAGTATATAATGTTTGAGAAATCTAGATATGTCACTACTTGTGTAGTTGTATACAAACAAAGTTAGTGTAAGAATTTGACAAGGGAATATGACAAGGGTTGGTGAATGGTGATTTTTTGGGATATAAATTTTTTTAACTTCTTATGTGGATTGTGGAGTATGATGTAGACTTCTAATTTTTTTAAACTTCTTTTTTTGTAAGTATCAGGATAATGGTACGTACCCCTTTAATGATACAGGTTATATTTTATTTATAATGGATTAAATGGGTAGTATTGAGAACTGTAGGTAAAAGAAAAACATGTCAAACGAGTTAAAGGTTATCCAAATTTTTTCTTAATGCATTCCATTTTGGAAAAAAGTATGTATTCCAAAAAGTAGGTTATTTATTGTATTAGTATATTTTTATAATCAAATTTATACATTATCTATTCAATAAATGGACACAATAAGTATCATGTCACCCAAACCCCTGTCTCCAGTATAAGTTTAAGGGATATTAACAAAAATATCACTCTTTTGTTTAGGAAAATTTATTTAATTAATACCGAAATGATTTCTGAGTCCGGGATAAGACATAATACTATATAATGCTTTTCCCCTCATTTTCATAAACACTTTTTAAAGTTTTCTATTCATGTCTCTTAGACTTATTTTGAAATATTCTATTCTAACAGATGAAAGCTTTTTTTTTTTTTTTTTTGTCATATTTTACATTTTCATTTAATTTGTCAAATATTATTTTGTGGTTATTATAAATTAATTTTTTTCAACATGTTATTTTATGAGTTTTTTTATTTTAATAAAATTCATATAATATTTTAATATAATAATTACAATAAATACAATAATAAATAAATATTAATTTCATGAATTTATCTTTTTATTTCAAAATTCCTAAATTAATGTTGATTAGTTTATTTTGTTTATTTGTTTAAGTTTAAAAGAAAAAATCAATTTTAATAATTCATTATTTTTTTTTTAATTTTTTTATAAGTCCAAAGTTTTTATAATTCATTATTTTTCTTATTTTCTTATAAATCCAAAGTTTATATATATATATATATATATATATATATATATATATATATATATATATATATATATATATATATATATATATATATATATATATATATATATATATATATATATATATATATATATATATATCTTGCACCAATTTTCAATAATCAAATGTCATCTTTTCATTGTATAGTTGCTTTTTTTTTTTATAAACTTTTTTTGATAGATTTACAAAACTATCGAAAATTTCTCAAAAGTTTGGAATTGTTTATTAGACTTTAGAATTGTTCTTAAAATTCTAGAACAATTATTTATTTAATTAGGGGTAAATGTAAGATTTCATATTAGGGGTTGTACGATAATTGAAAAAATAAAAATTTCGAAAAATTTTCCACTACGGCTAGAAAAGTCAGGGGTTGTAAATGCCACCATGGACCCCCCCTAAAACCGTCTCTGTATTTTATTATTTTTTATTTTGATGTTCAAAATACAAAGTCCAAATCATTAGGTCTAAAATGTATTTTTTTTATCACATGAAATATTTTTGAAATGAACTTTTTATCAGAAGAATTAATTTTAATATGAGATAAAGTCATTGAGAAGTTATCAATTCTAACAATGATATCATTTTTCTAAAACATAAAAACTTGGTCATTCATAATTATCATTTTTGTTGTTATCTCTAAAATTAATCCCCCCCTATTTAATGATTATTTATTTTGATGTTCAAAATATAAAGTCCAAATCATTAAGTCTGAAATGTATTTTTTTTACGAGATGAAATTTTTTGAAATGAACTTTTTACTAGAAGAATTAGTTTTAATATGAGATAAAGTCATTGAGAAGTTACCATTTCTAACAATGATATCATTTTTCTAAAACATAAAAACTTGGTCATTCATAATTATCATTTTTGTTGTTGTTCTAAATTTAGTCCGCTATGAATGGTTACTTTAGTAGTCTAACTCACTTATCTCTTACATAATAATGGACTAATTTGTTGGATGAAAAATTGATTCTTATTTAGAAAAGGCTGTTTGTTACTAAAATATGGTTCATTTCGTTTGTGTTATTAACATTGTTACCTCCTCTACCATAATTGTGGCCACCATTTGCACAACTTTTAACCATTTGGATTATTGGTTACAAATTCCAAATTAACTTAACCCTACCATACTATTAAGTACAATCGGATAAAGATATGGCCTCACTACAGGTTGTCTTACAAATTACAATAAACGCACACCACACGATTATCAAATCTTATACACTTGACATAGTTTTTAAATTATTTAAGCACAATTCGTCACTATCGATAGAGTTTTAAAATTAGTGTCATCATACTGTCATAAAATAATGAATTTAAAATATTTAAATATAATACTTTAAAGACCCCACTAATTATATACCAGAAAGATATATTATATTCCCTCCCAAATTAGCAACCATCACCAGCAGAGGAGAGGACAATAAGCCACAGAGTTTTCAAATTGTCGTAATGTGTGTACGTATGTGTCGTGTTGCCAAAGAAACAAAGGCCTTTTACATTTTTTTTAGAATGGCCGGAGACACAATTACAAACAAAACAAACTAACAAGATCTAGCAAAATACAATAAAAAGGAGATTCACTCCAAACAATCTTATCTATACTAGACATTTAACCTTTATGTTTCAACCATGAAAATAAACAAAGCTTAATGTCATCCAACAATCTAATAGACTAGAATAAACAAAGCTTAATGTCATCCAACAATCTAATAGATTTAAGGGAGTGGCGCACTTTCTGCCACATAGGCAAAACACCTCCCCCTATGCGGTTAGGCCGTACCTCACCCTTTTTTAGCCGCAAATTCCGCAAATTCTGATAGGTTGATGGCGATGGTGATGATGACCGTTGAACGGTTAAATATATTAATTTTTTTCTTTCTCTCCTATAAATTAAACCATCTATTTCATTATTTTTCAAACAAAAACCAAACTTTTACATTTCTTTATTGCTTTCACTCTTAAAATTAATAGAAAATGTCATCTTCTGAAGAATTTCAAGTTATTTTTGATGCTGCTATTGCTTGTGCTCAAATGACAGATCAAGCATAAGATGCTTTATGCAATAACGTAATCGAAAGTTCTCAATGGAGAACACAAAGATATATTTGCAAAAATTGAGAAGAAGCCAACCAACATTTGATACTAGACTATTTTCAAAAAAATGCCACTTATCAAGGGTACTATTTTCGTAGGCCCGCTTCAGAATGTCCAAACGTTTATACGAACGTATAGTTGAAGATGTAACGAAGGAGTGCAATTTTTTCCAACAACGTCCCGATGCTTGAGGTACACCCGGTTTCACTCCCTTACAAAAATACATGGCCGCACTTCGTCAGTTAGAATATGACATTAGGTCTGATGCTTTGGACGAAAGTTTTAGGATGTCTGTTAGGACTGTACGAGATAGTCTTCACTATTTTTGCAAAACTGTGATTCAGTTTTATGGTCCACAATGTTTACGTTAGCCTACACGTAATAGTATCTTACAATTGCGAGCTCATCATGCTAGTGTGCATGGGTTTACTGGAATGATAGGAAGTTTAGATTGTCTCCATTGGGCATGTGAAAATTGCCCTACCTCACACCATAAGCAATTTTCCCGAGGTGATCATGGTCATACTTGAAGTAGTTGCATCACATGATCTGTGGATTTGACATGCTTTTTTTGGTTCTCCCGGTTCGATTAACGACATCAACGTTCTTAATCGTTCACCTATATTTAACAACATATACGATAAATCTGCATCAGATTCTTCTTTTGAAGTGCATGGAACACCATATAAGTATAGTTATTATCTTATTGATGAGATCTATCCTGAGTATGCCATGTTTTTTTAAATCGTTTACGTGTCCACATGGTTCTAGACGAAAAAAATTTAAGAAATCTCAAGAAAGAGCTAGGAAGGATGTCGAACGTGCTTTTGGAGCTCTTAAGAAACGTTGGTTCATATTGAAAAAAACCAGCAATTTATTTCTGCAAGGAAAAACTTCAAGAAATCATGTATAAATGTCTCATATTGCATAATATGATTATTGAAGACGAATTAAGAACGATATGTGCGTATGACGAGGAAGAAATCATACTCGAGACACAACCAATAGAAATTGGTGGTGACGAGTATATGAACAACAGAACAGAGATACGCTGCACTAAAACATTTCACAATCTTTATATGGACTTGGTGGAACACATTTATGGGATTCAACACATTAACCTTAATTTGGATTCATCAGATGACTCGGAAGACAAGTTTTCGGAGAACGACATTATGTAGTATGGTTTAGTTATTTTATTTATGTTTTTAAGTTATTCTAATCATTTGATGTGTGTTTTTTAAGTTTGTAGGATTTTTTTATTGTCATGTGTGTTTTTTTTGTTTTTGTTTTTTTAGTAATGCAATGTAATGTTTTTTTTTATTAAAAAGAAGTTTTATTAAATTAAATTATTTAAAAAAAAATTGACATCACTCTTTGGGTGTGACAAGAAACCACACTTGTGTGGTAAAAAGTGATATGACACATATGTGGCAGTGAAGGGAGTGCCGTTTCGATGATACCACTCCCTCCAACCTTATTAATAATTTTCCTCTTTTTTAAAAATGATATCATTTTTTGCTTTCCAAATCAACCAAAAAAATCGTGCCAAATAAAGTTTCAATTAGTTTTTTGTTTTTGACATCTCGAATAGAAACACTGGCTACAACATCTAATAAATCTGAAAAATAGGTTTTTGGATCGAAACCAGTTTAAAGCCCACGACCAAACTGATTGTGAAATTTGACATTGAAGGAAAATATGGTCAACAATTTCATCTATCACCTTACAAAATAAACATAAAATAGAAGGGAGAACAACACCTCTTTGAGCAAGATTATGAGTAACGAGAATTCTATTTAAGAGGAGTCTCCATATGAAACAATTCATTTTAATTGGCAACCATCTATTCCACTTAAAAGCACATGGTTCATGAGTACAAATGGTTGAATAGATAACTTCCCTAACTGATTTAACCGTAAAAATTTCGGTAGAGTTTCTGAACCAAATCCAAGTGTCTTCTATATTGTATATA